TATATATATTTGTATATAGTTGCTAGACAAGCAACATAGTTGTACATATTCATGAGATGTAAATGTGTTTATATTATATTGTTGTTTCAGAATATGTATATGTGTAGTTAATTGTGTGTTGCGTAGTGTGGCAGCCATGGCAGGTCTTACAATTATTATTATATATAGTGTTTTTACTTTTGATTTAACAATATTTTTAAATTAACAGCTTTAAGTAAAGTTGACTTAGTGATATTTTTGAATTAAGAATATTAAATAAAATTGATTTAATTAAAATTTACTTATATTTTAATATAAAAAATTAAGTGTAATATATATAGTGAAGTAATCAAATTACATTGATGTAACTTTTACAATTATTATACCGTTTAATAAAATTGATTGAAGATATCGGGCCTCTACAAATTGACAAAGAAGCATCTCACACTACATTTCTCGAATCTCACCTCAATGATCTTGATCAACAACAAACTCACCATAACCAAGAACATTGACTTATTCACTTAGTCAGCTTCTGACATGCCAAACATAAACCCCAAATTTCATTATCATCGCCTTTCCGTATGTTAAGAGGTACTACTAGTAGCCCAGAAAAAGAAAAATTGGTGAAGAAATAAGGAAAACATCAAAAAATGAGGTACAAGAATTATTAGAGGCTGAGTTCATTTGAGAAGTAACATACACCACATGACTCATCAATGTGGTAGTGGTGAGAAAGTCATCAATGTGGTAGTGGTGAGAAAGTCAAATGGAAAGTGGTGGATGTGCACGGATTATACAAGCTAAGTTCATTTGAGAAGTAGCATACACCACATGACTCATCAACGTGGTAGTGGTGAGAAAGTCAAATGAAAAGTGGTGGATGTGCACGGATTATAAAAACCTTAATAGAGATGGCAAAAACACCTATACCTACAGGTATCTATGGATAAAATTTGTCACAAATAACAAATGGGTAGCCTAAATGGACACCTTGAGATAACGGGTACGAGTATTTTCTTTATCCATTTATAAACGAGGTAGGGGCGGGTACGGTGGTAGTATCCATATTCACAGGTACTCGCTAAATAATATTACTTAAATATTTATATTTTTTTCTTACATTTTTTATATTATTTTTAATATTTCAAAAAAATTATCATTAATTACAAGTTTAAAAATTAATATCAATTATTTATCTTTAATATTTTAATATACTAATTAAACATCAAATATAAGTTTAAAGTTATTTATAATATTTTTTAATTTTTAAAATATTTCACAAATATTCATAGATACCTGCAAGTATTTATAAAATTCACAAGTATCTGCTAAACAAATACCCGCACGAGTTTGGAGCAGGTACAGGCCAAATTTTTGTCTAATGGACAAGTACAAGTATCCTACTACTAGCCTCATGAGACACCAGTGCCATCCCTAGACCTTAAAAAGGCATGTCCCAAGGATGTCTATCCCCTCCCAAGTATTGATAAGTTGGTTGACGACACTACCAGATATCAACTCTTTAGTCTTTTGGACGCGTATTTGAGATACAATTAGATTTGAATGCACCCCAGGGATGAAGCAAAACAACCTTTATAACCGAGTCGCCAATTTCTTTTACCGAGTTATGCCTTTCGGTTTAAAAAATGTTGGAGCAACTTATCAGAGGTTGATGGATAAAATCTTCAACAAGAAAATCGACCGAATCATGGAAGTGTATGTGGATAACATGATTGTCAAGTTTAATAGACTAGTCGAGCATATTTAAGACTTAAAGGAAGTATTTCAACAAACTCTGAGAGTACGATATGTGACGGTCTAGAAAAATGTGTATTTGGAGTCTAAAGTGGTAAGTTCCTTGGGTTCATGCTAATAGCCAGAGAAATTCAAGCTAATCTGAATAAGTGTCAAGTAGTCATCTTGAATATGCGAAGTCTGATGTCTATAAAAAAGGGTAGTGGTTGGCATCCTTATCTTATTTTTTATTGAGGTTGGTCGAGAGAACCAAACCAATAACAACATTGCTAAAGAAGACTAATAGTGTATTTGGATGGAAAATTTAAATGAAGTAATTCATTTATTTAAAGAA